TGGCACTCCCGTCTTGCTTGGGGTAAAATGCTTAAAAAAAATTTCCAACGTCACTCTTGTCAAAAAATCTTAAAAATCGGGAAATTTCGATCACTAACTTCGTAAAAAGTAGGAGACTTTTACCAAAAAACAGAAAGAAAAAGAAGGGTTTAAAAAAACAAAAATAAAAATTGAACTTCAATCTTCAAATTTCCATCATTTATTACCAACTTAGGCGTGATTTTCGACTAACATTAACCAATTTCAGGTCATTATTTAATTTGTAAATACACTAAGAATTCGGTAAAAATGTTATCGGAAAATTTTTTATCTCCGTAATAATTTGACGAAATGAGGAGTCCGAAGCGATTTTCAAAATATGTGTACTGAACAGGAAGTATTTTCATTCGGGAGTTCCTTTTTTTTTGTCGGCTGTCGAGCGTACTGGTTAAGACGATAAACTACGTCCAACAACAAGGCCTCTGATCAGGAAGTTTTGAGTAACGTGGAACCACCTCTTAATTGCTGGTGTTCCCAGGTCCACACCTACCCGGGGTGGTAGCACCTGTTAGCTATGGGCAAACAGTGAACACCGAAACTGTGGTAAAAACACTATGAAAGTGTAAAAATAGGTTTTAATACCAGAAACACTTCGTAAAAAATTATTACCAGCAATAATTTTTTGTAGAAAATAAAACCCCAAAAAACTATTACCAGCAATATACTTTTGAAGGAAAAATATTAGCAGAAATAGATTTTTGAGAAAAACAAAATATTACCAGCAAAATAAATTTTGTCGGTATTAAATAACCCATTGATATGCCGTAAAACAAACCAAACCAATCCAAAACCTTTTTTGTCATAAAAAGGTCAGTTTATTTACAGGGAGAATCTTGTAAAAAAAAACAAAAAACTATATAAACTATATATAAAAAAACGATAAACTACATCCACCAGCAAGGCCTCTGATCAGGATCTTAATTGCTGGCGTTCCCAGGTCCACCCTGACTCGGGGTGGTAACACCTGTTAGGGTCCCAGCTATGGGCAAATAGTTGACTACCAAACTTGTGTAAAAATAGTTTTTAATACCAGAAATACTTTGTAATAAAAATAAAATATTACCAGCAATAATTTTTGAAGGAAAAATTATTTCAGCAATACTTTAAAAAGAAAAGTACTAGCAATACAAACAGCTATAAATTCTTTGAAAAAAATATTACCAGCTATAGATGTCGACAAGGGAAAAGATTTTCCCAGAAATAGATTTTTGAAGAAAAACATATAAGCAGCAATAAAAATTTTGTCGGAATTAAATAACCCATTGAGGTTGATATGCCGTAAACTAAACCAAAACTTTTTTTTTTTTTTTTTTGTCGGAAAAAAGTTCAGTTTATTTACAGGGAGAATCTTGTAAAAAAAAAAAAACAAAAACAAAAACAAAAAAAACATGGAAGACTAAACATCTAACCGTTAGTCGAGTGGACACTACTTACGAACGCGGAATAAAGTGCTCAAAACCGGAAGTCTCCCAGCAGTTGACATCCCTGCGAAGTTGGGTTCTCATCACTCAATCACTTAAGGCTGTTTTTTTCACGCATCTCGCAAAAAATGTTTCTGTCAGTGCCATGCGTGATACACGCATAGGCGATCATGTATCTTTCGATACTTTACTGACATGGTAGATTTTTTCCCCGCAGTAGATTGCCATTTCTTTCTGCCGTAGACCAGTGGCCATCCAAGGCTATAGAACCCGGTCTGTCCTGCTATTTACCTATAGATGGGGTGGGGAGAGAAGAGGCTTCATACCTTTCCCCAAGGCTATTAGCACGTAAATGAATTTCAGTCAGTTATGTGCCATGCGTGATACACGCTTAGCGATCATGTGTTATGTGCCATGCGTGATACACGCTTAGCGATCCACTACTCCACATTGCCTCCTTGAAGTAGATACTGTATAGACTCGTGTATAAAGCGACTTCATGCATAATGCGACCTCTGAATTTTTTTACATTATTTTTAACCCCTCCACAAAAAAACATTTACCTGTGTATAGTGCAGCCGGTCACCGAAGATGCATGATTTTTAACCTCTTCAAAAAAAATTACTTGTGTATAGTGCGGTTCCTATTTTTTTACGTATAGAAGTTATCATAAAAAAATCGCATTATACTCGAGTATATACGGTAAGATTATTCCTGAAGATGAACACACCAAGAAACCATTCGCAGAGACCCAGCCTCTGGCACACGACAGAAGAATGGTGGTCAGCTCAGCATGTCGGCGCCCCATCGACTCCTTCTGGGGTTAAGGGTAGAAGAAGAAGAAGAAGAAGAAGAAGAAGAAGAAGAAGAAGAAGAAGGTATATGGTAAGTAAAACTTCATATAAATATATGCAAACATAAGTGGATCTTAATAGATTTTACCAAAATTGGTTAGAATTTATCTAGATAAGAGCAATACAAAAGCATGTTTTTATACAAGACACAAGAGCCACTCAAGGTAGAGAATTAATGTCTGGTGTTGTATAAGTGTAACAAAACGTAAGAAGTGAAGTTTATGGGCTTATGCAGTAAGGATAGCGGTTAACCCTAGACTTCAAGAGGTCAAGGTTGCAGTGATTGTGAAAGCATTTTGTCCGTTCCACAAATCAATAGTTCTTGGGAAGAAGCTGTTCAAATGGAACTTACTCCTTACAAATGGAATACAAATGGAATGAGGACGATTCACACTTATATACGTGGCATGGTGGGTCCCAGGTGTAAAGGTCAGTGGTGATGGGTCTAAGGAATGTTACTAATTGAAACACATGCCATGGAAATAGTGATAGAGCAGGGAGAGGCTCGCGACGTTTCGTCTGTGGGAAATGGTTTGTTGGGTAGAACAATAATTAACCACCTCAGGGCCGCGTGGACACAGTTGAAATCGAAACAGATAAGTACGGTGTCTGGCAATTCCGCCCTACATATAACAGCAAACCCTCATTTTTATTCTGATCTGGCTCTTGCATAGCAGGAGGAGCCAGATACTCACTGGGACGTTACAATGAAAGGATCATTTTCTCAGCATCTTTAAAAAATAGATTGTATATGTATAAGTTCAACTTGAGGTTTAGGGAGAGCTTGAGACCTAATAGATGTCCAAATCAGTGTCTCTCCTTGAGAGAAGACCAATCCATTATGATGGTGAAAGTTCAGGGTTTGTTTTCAACCAATACAAGGCCCGGTAAGCACTCAAGGTAGAAGGTTACTCTATAGTGCTATATGAGCACAAGAAGGCAACACGTGTAGTTCATTGGGCTATGCCGGAAAGATAAGCCTAGACGAAGAGGTTATGGCTGCAGTGATTGGGAAAAATTTTTATCTGTTCCACGAAGTAACAGTTTTTAGGAAGAAGATGTCCTCCTTACTAATGGAATACAAAGGGAATGAGGATGATTCATACTCGTGGCCTGGTGGATGTCAGTTGTAATGATCAGTCGTAGTGGGACTAAGGAACACATACCATGGAAATAGCGATAGAGCAACGAAAGGCTTGTCACGTTTCGCATGTGGGGAAGTGAATGTAGGGTGGAAAGTCATTCATCACCCACAAGGCTGTGTATACGCTTTTAAAATCTACCAAGACCGACAGGTGAGGATTTGAGCAACTCCAGCCCGGGTATGGCAGCAATACTACATATTTGGTCTGGCCTGGCTCTTGTAAATATAGAATATAGCAGGAGGGAGTGAAATACTTACTGGAGCGGTACAATGTACCAACCATTTTGCAAACATTTTCCTACAGGCGTTCAAAGCAAGGAGTTGCGAGTTCAATACCTGGCTACCGCAGTAGTAAACGAAAACTTGGAGAGTTGAGTTAAAGGGAGATCACTGAAACATCCAGAAGAGGCATGGTACGTGGAACTAGAGAAATCTGCCCCGGTAGACGAAATAAAGGGTTCAGTTCGAAATTCCAATCATCTGAAGAAGGCCGGAGCGTATCACGACCGAAACGGCGTGAATATGGCAACAAAGATCAGGATAACAGTCCGAACAATGTAAATAGTGTAAATAATCGGAACTCCTGTATGGCAGTGAATGATGAACCATCTCATCAGAGGTGGCGAAGAGTTTTGAGACAGCGCAAATGTGGTTCTATGCTGAGAAGAACATGGGCTGAACACGCGAGCAATGACGATTTTTTAGAGAAAATAGCAACAAATCGGACAGTTATACTTCGAATCAGAAAGAGATAACCGAATTTTCTAGGGCATTTAATAAGGAAAGACGGCTTAGGAAATTTGACCCTCACATGACATGTTGAAGAGACAGAGAAAAAAGCACATAGCCTTTGGGAGAACAGGAAGTTGGAGATATAGCCAAAAAAAAAGACAAACTTTACTAAAGGCTACTTAGGACAGAAAGTTATGGAGAGTCCTGATCACAAGTGTCCTGAGGTGATACGTCACAAAGAAGAAGAAGAAGAAGAAGAAGAAGGAGGAGGAGGAGGAAAAGGAAAAGAAGTATTAGATCGAGAAGAAGAAGAAGAAGAAGAAGAAGAAGAAGAAGGAGGAGGAGGAGGAGGAAAAGGAAAAGAAGTATTAGATTGAGAAGAAGAAGTAGAAGAAGAAGAAGAAGAAGGAAGAGGAGGAGGAGGAGGAAAAGGAAAAGAAGTATTAGATCGAGAAGAAAAAAGAAGAAGAAGAAGAAGAAGAAGAAGAAGAAGAAGAAGAGGAGGTAGAGGAGGAGGAAAAGGAAAAGAAGTATTAGATCGAGAAGAAAAAGAAGAAGAAGAAGAAGGAGGAGGAGGAGGAGGAAAAGGAAAAGAAGTATTAGATCGAGAAGAAAAGAAGAAGAAGAAGAAGAAGAAGGAGGAGGAGGAGGAGGAGGAAAGAAGTATTAGATCGAGAAGAAGAAGTAGAAGAAGAAGAAGAAGAAGGAGGAGGAGGAGGAGGAAAAGGAAAAGAAGTATTAGATCGAGAAGAAGAAGTAGAAGAAGAAGAAGAAGAAGGAGGAGGAGGAGGAGGAAAAGGAAAAGAAGTATTAGATCGAGAAGAAAAAGAAGAAGAAGAAGGAGGAGGAGGAGGAAAAAGGAAAAGAAGTATTAGATCGAGAAGAAGAAGAAGAAGAAGAAGAAGAAGAAGGAGGAGGTAGAGGAGGAGGAAAAGGAAAAGAAGTATTAGATCGAGAAGAAGAAGTAGAAGAAGAAGAAGAAGAAGGAGGAGGAGGAGGAAAAGGAAAAGAAGTATTAGATCGAGAAGAAGAAGAAGAAGAAGAAGAAGAAGAAGAAGGAGGAGGAGGAGGAGGAGGAAAAGGAAAAGAAGTATTAGATCGAGAAGAAGAAGAAGAAGAAGAAGAAGAAGGAGGAGGAGGAGGAGGAAAAGGAAAAGAAGTATTAGATCGAGAAGAAAAAGAAGAAGAAGAAGAAGAAGAAGAAGAAGAAGAAGAAGAAGAAGGAGGAGGAGGTAGAGGAGGAGGAAAAGGAAAAGAAGTATTAGATCGAGAAGAAAAAGAAGAAGAAGAAGAAGGAGGAGGAGGAGGAGGAAAAGGAAAAGAAGTATTAGATCGAGAAGAAAAAGAAGAAGAAGAAGAAGAAGAAGGAGGAGGAGGAGGAGGAGGAAAAGAAGTATTAGATCGAGAAGAAGAAGAAGAAGAAGAAGAAGAAGGAGGAGGAGGAGGAGGAAAAGGAAAAGAAGTATTAGATCGAGAAGAAAAAGAAGAAGAAGAAGAAGAAGAAGAAGGAGGAGGAGGAGGAGGAGGAGGAAAAGGAAAAGGAAAAGAAGTATTAGATCGAGAAGAAGAAGAAGAAGAAGAAGAAGAAGAAGAAGAAGAAGAAGAAGAAGAATGTTTAGTCCCGGCCTTCACAGAAATCTGAGGAGGAGGAAAAGGAAAAGAAGTATTAGATCGAGAAGAAGAAGTAGAAGAAGAAGAAGAAGGAGGAGGAGGAGGAAAAGGAAAAGAAGTATTAGATCGAGAAGAAGAAGAAGAAGAAGAAGAAGAAGAATGTTTAGTCCCGGCCTTCACAGAAATCTGTCCCTATTGCTCTGTGAGACGTTGAGGGAAATGGCTAGGCAGAGCAGCCATACACACAGTCACATTTGAGAATGCAATTAGCTTAGAGAATGTAGTTTGGGCTAATTTTATATCTTATGACATTTGGAATTTCATTCAGTGTTTTTGGCTGGCGATACCTAATGGCTCTGAAATGCTGCTATCTTCGGCTATGTAGCACTTGTAGGCCAAATTGACTTCATCACATCCTGCTGCAATGGAACGAATCTTTCTTACTCTAATCAAATCATTTGCAAATGATTCCATTTCAAAAGATCGCACAGTTATTTGTAATTATAAAAGCGCGCCATTACAGATGTACGCAGGAAGATAGATATATGCGCGCGCGTGTGTGTATGTGTGTGTTGAGTTCATGCGCGAGTGAGACTGTACACACATCTATGGAGTTTTTTTTGGGTTTTTTGTATAAATGCCATATAACTTCAGGGGGATCACAGCTCATTACATATTCCTTTTTCGGCAAATTTTTACAATCGTACCCGAAAAAAAAAAAAAAAACAACAACAAAAAAAAAAAGAATGTTTTTTACTCTTGGCACTCGCTATTAGTGTAAACCCATTCTGCAATTTTTATTGTTTTAAAATGATTTAATAAAACCCAAGCATATCAAAATATTCGTCCTGGGTATGACGATAAACTAGATCCGGTAGCAAGGTCCCTGATAAGGGTGGTTTTCAAGATCGTGGAACCACATCTTAAATGCTGTTGTTTCAAGATCCACCCTCACCCGGAGAGGTAGTTCCTTTTAGCGCCCTAGCTATGAGGTAAAAAAAAAACAAATATGTGAATCAAATACAATGTTATATTTATTATTTACCATATGACAAATTAGAAATAATTATGAAAGCAATTTTCACTTTAATTTCATTTCAATTATTATTTTATTTTACTTGTAAATAAAGGACAGCAATAATGATGAAATAAGCTGTTAAATAATGCACAATGAAAGAATACTTGAATGCACATAATAAAAATAATTTCCATGCCTGAAGATGACTGAATGTACAGTTGAAAGTACTTGCGTATTAAAGAAAGACCTTATACAGCATATAATTTTTAAAAACAAGCATCACAACATTCATCGAATGATTTGTAGGTTAATGCTCCTTTAAAATTTTGTTAGTGAAGGGATTTCACCATTTTATATCATTAAATCTACTTTTTGTATGAATGATTCATTTTTAATATATATATATATATATATATATATATATATATATATATAGAGAGAGAGAGAGAGAGAGAGAAAAAAATATATACGGAAAAAAAAAAAAATCCTTATATACAATTATGCTGTTTTAATGTTAATATGTCAACGTCGGACGTTTCGGTCTAATAAACCATCTTCAGGACATATTCATAAATTATAACATTATAACATTAACATTATCAATACAACATGACAATTTATGAATATGTCCTGAAGATGGTTTATTAGACCGAAACGTCCGACGTTGACATATTAACATTAAAACAGCATAATTGTATATAAGGATTTTTGTTTGTTTTTTTCCGTATATATTTTTCTTCATACTGTCGGATCTATATCCATATATTTGCTTACACACACACACACACACACACACATATATATATATATATATATATATATAAATGTATATTTGGAAAGCAACCTTTCTTTTAAACATATTTCGTTAAGTATGGCGAACAAGGAAGATTTACTAAATTTTTTATTTACTTTTCTCAGCGTCCTTACGTTTTTCCGTTTAGTAGGAGCATCATAAATTTACTAATTTAAAAATATGGTTCCATCGCTACACAGGAATTACCATGTTTCAAAAAGAAGAAATAAAATTAAATTAAAATCCCTAGTACTTTTTCATTTTCAAGTGAATTTTGGAATAATGTTTATGCTCTGAAGAATTGTTGTGTTGAGCACTGTTTTTTAAAAATAAAAATAATTAATAAGATCACCGGATTATAAATCTTACTGTTCTTTCTTTTTATGAATAAAGACAAAAGGGAAAACTTATTTTAACGAATGCGTTTCGTCCACTGATGGATCTTATCAAGGCGAATGTAAGAGCGCTCATAAATATTCATCAGATTAACTGAAATGTCTAGGTAAATTATAGAAGATGCTAAGTGATATAATTTAATGTCTAATAAATAGAAGTGATTAAATGTTTTAATAATGTAATTAACATTTTGATTATTTTACTTTGGGATAAATTAATATACATTTTAAATAATAGAACAGTTAAGTTTTCTTTTGTCGTTATTCATCTTGTCATTTTTAAATTATATATATATATATATATATATATATATATGTATATATGTATATTTACCACTAATATTATCTCTTTCTCTTCTCTCTCTCTCTCTCTCTCTCTCTCTATATATATATATATATATATATATATATATATATATATATATATATATATATCCGAATACGAGGTTGGGATAAATGGATTAAAATTACTGTAATCGAAAACACTATTTTTTTTTTTAAAGTGCTCAATACAAAGTAGACCAAATAATATTTATTTAAAAATATAAGTAATGTAATCTTTATATATTTTATAATTGCTCTTTAGTTTTTGCATAATTTTTATAGACCTACATCAAGCACTTTTTGTGTAGTGTCTGCGAACTCTGACTTTACGAACATAAATAAATGAAAAAAAATATATATATATATACTCTGCTCCGTTCCTTCTTTGAATGATTACACAATATTTTACACGTAAAATTAAAATTTTAAATTTGTAATTTTTTAATGTTATTGTGAAATTATAAATTAGTTATAATGATTCCTAAGGCATTAATTAATTATATTTAGGTTTGCTGTCAAATTTTTTTTTAATTATCATATACTTGTCTTTTGATTGGTCAGTGGTGCTTACGTAACAATATTTACCCTATTAAGATGAGTTTGGTTGATTTTGAACTTTTTAAAACTGTTTATTCTGAGATCAACGCCATCACTTGACGAGACACCAGAAATGTTGAAACAAAATGGCTATTTTTGTAGGGATGTTATAACATATTTATATCATAATTTTCAAATAAATATTATATATATATATATATATATATATATATATATGTGTGTGTGTGTGTGTGTGTGTGTGTGTGTGTGTGTGTGTGTGTGTGTGTGTGTGTGTGTGTGTGTGTGTGCGTTTAAAATAGAATATAGAAACCCTACAAAGTTTTGGAGAAATTTGACAAATTGAAAACGTGTCATTGAAAATAAAATTGATTACGCGTTTCGCCTTTCAAGGCTTCATCAGATTCAAAAACGAAAGAAAGAAATGTATATATGTGTATTTGTGTGTATGCTTAAATAATGAACCTTAGTACTTTTTCCCTCAACTGGCGTTTTCTTGTGATTAAAGCAGAAAGAAAATTAGTGACTTAAAAAGAAAAAGGTTTTAATATTTATTCTAGATCTTTATAATTCTTTAGTTCACGTCGAAAGTTCTTGATATATTATATATCCCAGCTTTTTTGTATTGAATTAAAAGGGAAATCCTCTTCTCATTTTAAGAATTGCTCGAAAACCAAAAAAAAATCATATTTATGATATAAATCCAAAGCAAATTCTCATCCAATTCTTCAGAATGGGTTGAAAGCAAAATTTTTTTTTTGTTAGGTCTATTTCATGTATTTTCCGTGTCGACAATATATATTTTTAAAATAGAATATAGAACGTCGACAAAAATATAATATAAATGACGTCACTTTTAAGTGGTTCCAGCAAATAAGTAACGCTGGAAATAGTCAAATGCATTATCAAATAATACGCAACTGCACAGTTCTTGATAACGACTCTAGTGACAGAAAGTGCTCGGATTGCAGAAAGAATGGACTATGGAAAGTTTACCAATTTTAATTCTGACATAAGACAACTTAGTCGGAATTTTGAAAGAGTTTATTAACTCAAATTCTGACTGAGTTGGACGGACAAACTTTGTCGGTATTTTTTAACAAAATTTGTTTGAGTCGGTAAGCGTCTTTCAGCAAACAACCCTGTTTATTTTCTTTTCTTTATAGACAGTGAAATTAATGTCTAACAGCTTAGAGATCGAAAGTCTTACCAAAGAAAATGTGCCATACAACGAGAATCGAATTGGTCAAGTGGAAGTTATGATGGTCTTTCATAGCTTTTGAAAAAGAAAAAAAATATCTCCAGAGTGGGAAGAAAGGACTGGGCTGCTCCAGCTCCGATATGGAAATTTTTTATCTCTACTGACTATGCAGATTATGATGCTGGTTAACAGAAAAACACAGCAGGAGTACCTAACGTGGTGAGTCTGTGGTACCAACCTACATAGAGGAATGACCCTAAAGAAGAAGTGATAACAGATGGTTTGGGGAAAACAGAACATAGGTGGGTCTTATATATAACAGTGTATTTTAGAAGAATTTTTTTATAACAGAACATAGGTGGGTCTTATATATAACAGTTTATTTTAGAAGAATTTTTTATAACAGAACATAGGTGGGTCTTATATATAACAGTTTATTTTAGAAGAATTTTCTTATAATAGAACATAGGTGGGTCTTATATATAACAGTGTATTTTAGAAAAATTTTTTATAACAGAACATAGGTGGGTCTTATATATAACAGTTTATTTTAGAAGAATTTTTTTATAACAGATCATAGGTGGGTCTTATATATAACAGTTTATTTTAGAAGAATTTTTTTATAACAGAACATAGGTGGGTCTTATATATAACAGTGTATTTTAGAAGAATTTTTTTATAACAGAACATAGGTGGGTCTTATATATAACAGTTTATTTTAGAAGAATTTTTTTAATAACAGAACATAGGTGGGTCTTATATATAACAGTTTATTTTAGAAGAATTTTTTTATAACAGAACATAGGTGGGTCTTATATATAACAGTTTATTTTAGAAGATTTTTTTTATAACAGAACATAGGTGGGTCTTATATATAACAGTTTATTTTAGAAGAATTTTTTTTCAAAATATGATTTTTTTTTTAAATCAGTAACTTTAAAAAAACTTTAATTTTTTTTTCTTCGGACTTTTTTTTTACTTTTTAAGAAACTGTTATAATTCACCTTCATGCATTTTTATTGCGAATAAACAGTGCACTAGTCAATAGTGCATAAGATGCATCTCCATGCATCGATGATACATTGCTGGCCTTTAATAAAGAAAATCCCACCCAATTGGTGTCAGTATTTTCAAACATTATGTACGACTGTAACCTGGAATGATATTGTTATATTCCGTGCTAATAGGAATATATACTTGAAAAACAAGGTGGATAAAATAAGTAATGGTTTATTGTAAAAACCAGTACAATAAGAATAAGTGTAACAGTTATGCACAAGGTCATCGCAAGTCAATCGACCAGTGAGTGCTACTATTGGAAGGTCAGTAGATCTCGCGTAAGTCGGTATTCAACAGATCACAGCTATAGAAATAGAATGGGTTTTACTCTCCAGTTAGAGCCGAATGTATATTATTCTTCAGTTTGAATCTATTGTGGACTCCAGAATGAAGTCCAGTCTCCAATGAATGACAAACGCAGGAATGAAATATAACAAATGAATGTATTTACACAATAATACAATTGGTAATACGGTTAGTAAATCCAGAAACGCGGTTAGTAGCAATAATAATATATATATATATATATACAGTCTCGAAGTAGGACTTCCTTAGAGTCTACGTGCTTGTAACTGTGACTTCTACAAGCGGTTACCTCACACTATTACTCTACCTCCAACTCAATTACAATCTCTGCTCCTGACTGTCTCTGGGTATTTAACGGCAGCAGTCCAAGTACACACTGGTCGAGTCCACTTGTATGAAAAAGGGGTGAACAGAATCGAATGTGTTTTACATTCTAATTAGAGTCGAATGGATTCCGTGCTAATATAAATATATACTTGACAAACATGGTGGATAAAATAAGTAAAGGTTTATTGTAAAACTAATTACAATAAGAATAAAGGTAACAGTTATGCGCAAGGTCATCGCAAGTCAATCCAGTAGTGGGTGCTACTATTGGAAGGTTGGTAGTTCTCGCGTAAATCTGAGTCGTACTCAACAGATCCCAGCTAATAATACTTACCAGTCACCCCACCAGGCCGAATTTAATGTGGGGCAATCCGAGCCCGTAGGTTCGGCCAAAATTTTCCCGTAAACCCGGTATAAACGGGTTCGTGTCTGTTTACATCCCCGGACGAGACTCTGCTCTTCGGCATAGCCTCGTCCGGGTTCCTCTCTTCCCGAAGGCAGAGAATTCGACAGCACCTAAGAGCTGAGTAACGGATCCCAGCTAGTCGGTATTTACCTGCTTCCCCACAAGGAAGGATGTGGCACAAGGCCGAGTTTAATGTGGGGCAATCCGATCCCATAGTCTCGGCCAAAAATTCCCCGTAACACCGCGTAAACGGGTTCGGGTATGTCTACCTCCTCTGAAGAGACCCTGCCCTTCAGCATAGCCTCATCCGGGTTCCTCTCTGCTCAAAGGCAGAGAGCTTGACAGCAGCCAAGATCTGAATAACAGATCCCAGCAAGTTAATATTTACTTGCCCCCCACCCCCGCCGCACAAGGCCGAGTTTTACGTGGGTTTTCTGAGCCTGTAGGCTCGGCCAAAAAATGCCCGTATAAACTGTAAAAACAGAATCGGGTTGGTCAACCTCCCCGAACGAGAGACTGTCCTTCGGCAGAGCCTCATCCGGGTTCTTCTCTGCCCGAAGATAGAGAGTTCGACTTCTTGCTGGAACAGATATTCCAGCAAGTCTCTGTAGTCCATTGACTTACAGATACTTATAGGTAGTTACTACCTATAGTGTAGTCACTCATGGGGGGGGGGGTGACAGGTTATTCCATTACATCAGATATTAAAGTATTTCATTCAAAGCAAGATGATAAACCCCCTAAGACGAAAGGGGTTACTAAGAGCGAAAGAAACTGAGAAAACGTTATTGAAGAGAAGAGGCAATAAAAGAATATAAATTAACGAGGCAGAAAGAGGAGATTAACACAGGATTTAATTTTTTAAAGATTGTAGTTGACAGGAAAGTAAGAAGCCGGAACAGAGATCCACAAGCGAGAGGCTCGAGCGAAGAAACTATTAGCATAGAACTTACGGTCACATCTAACAATTTCAACAGTAAAAGGATGAGACCTAGCTGCCAATCTAGTACTGCGTTTAAATTTGGAAAGTCTAGGTAGCAGTCGAGGAAAGCTCATCAGAACTATTACTATGAAAATATTTACAGAAAAGGAACTGGGGAGCTACGTTACGGCGGTGGGAAAGTGACTGAAGCAGAGATGCAGGGTCAGGGATTTTTAGATGCATAGTAGAAGCACCAGACCAGCTGTGGCAGTAATATTCAGTAACAGACGTCTTAGGGATTCGTCACTGTAACCCAGTGTAATATCCATAAACACGTATCTCAAGTAGTGGGGAGAGTTCTGATAGTCAAGAGTCCCGGTGTCAAACGTTGATCTCCATCAGCGAACACCCAAGCGTAATTGATGAACCTCTGACCATAATTTCTTTGTTGGTTCACCACCTGACGCGAACGAGGACGACTATGAACCAGTCTCGACGCCTATTCGCCAAAGCGCCATTCTTTTGTCAGTTCCCTCTCCTCTTCGTTTCGCTGTCCCGACAAGAGATAGGATGGGAAAAACTTGCTAGGCTGATCTCTGACGGACGTCATCGACTCTATTGTGAGTCGGACACTCGAAATAAAGCCAATTATTCATGCCCTAGCCATTATAGCAATTTTCATTCTGCCAGGGCTGTAAAATGAGAAATTTATATCGAATCCGGAACTCGCAATCAGACGAAATTAGATGTATGAGCCAAAGTGTAGCTCTCTTTGTGTGAGGAAGATAACACTACTTCCGGTAAACAGTTTGTCCCTATATTGCTTGGCCTGATCAATTAGAGGACGCTGTCAGTGAAAGACGGGAATGCGACACACAGCGGAAATGGGTGTAAGTTATGATGAAGCTGAGAAAGTGTAAAATAATCAAGAATAAACATATTTATCTTGACTCGCACATCAAGAAAGCCACAATCAACAACAACAACAAAATAATAACAATAAAAGATTCAGTCAATCATTTAGTTTCATTGGCTGTTGAGGAGCCGACGAAATATGGCAGATGTAGAAGAAAGAATTATTTTATTCCAGATGGAAAAGTCATGAAAATATGGAAAGAATTTAGAATATTAATAACCGGCGCCAAGTCCTTGTTTTGCGTATGACGAATATTCTGATGTGGGGGGGGGAAGTAGACGAAAAAAACTTCTAAATGAATTAAGCGATTTGGAAAGTGTGTTTGTGTTTTCGTACTAAGAGATGGCTACGTTCTTAATTATCGACGATGACGTGATTATCGGATGAATTTATAGCGGCAATAAAGGTGAAAACTACAGCAATTATGAAACTAAAGGCTTCGAAATGTTTAAAACAGGAGAAATTGTTTTCCAGAATATGTAGTATACGACAGAAAAGAGGAAGAGAGAGAGAGAGAGAGAGAGAGAGAGAGATAGAGAGAGAGAGACATAGAGAGAGAGAGACAGACACACGAACACGGACGCACACAAGGACAGAAACGAACAAAGAGAAAGAGAGGGAAATTGAAAAATAAAAAGAAGGAAAAAAAGAGTGGTTAACAGAGAAAATGATAGTGGAAAGAGTTGAAAGAATAGAGACAAAAGAAAAAAAGAAGAAAGAAAACGAAAAAATGAAAGCGAGAGAAAAAGAGTGTAAGAAAGAAAAAAAAAAGCGATGAAAAGAGAAAGAAAAAGGAAAAGAACAGAGAGTAAATAGGAAAAAGAAAATAAAGTTAAGAAAGAGATAGAGAAAAAAGAAACAAGTTGGAAAAAGAAAAAAGAAAGAAAGAATTGAAGTGAAAGAAAGAAAAAGTAAAAAAGTGAAAAGAAAGAAAGAAAGAAAGGAAATGGAAAGAAAGAAAGAAAGAAAGCACTTAGAAAAAGAAAGAAAAAAGAAAGGGAAGTAAGGGAGGGAAGTAATCCCGAGAGCAGATCGTAAGAAACAAAGAAAGAAAGAAAGAAAGAAAGAAAGAAAGAAAAAAGAAAAAAAGAAAGGAAGTAAGGGAGGAAGTAATCGAGAGCAGATCGTAAGAAAAAGAAAAGAAAGAAAGAAAAGAAAGAAAGAAAGAAAAGAAAAAAAGATAAAGAAAGAAAGGGAAGTAAGGGAGGGAAGTAATCCCGAGAGCAGATCGTAAGAAAGAAAGAAAGAAAGAAAGAAAGAAAGAAAGAAAGAAAGAAAGCACTTAGAAAAAGAAAGAAAAAAGAAAGAAGGGGAAGTAAGGGAGGGAAGTAATCCCGAGGGCAGATCGTAAGAAAGAAAGAAAGAAAGAAAGAAAGAAAGAAGGAAAGAAAGAAAAAGAAAAAAGAAAGAAAGGGAAGTAAGGGAGGGAAGTAATCCCGAGGGCAGATCGTAAGAAAGAAAGAAAGAAAGAAAAAGAAAAAAGAAAGAAAGGGAAGTAAGGGAGGGAAGTAATCCCGAGAGCAGATCGTAAGAAAGAAAGAAAGAAAGAAAGAAAGAAAGAAAGAAAGAAAAAGATAAAGAAAGAAAGGGAAGTAAGGAGGGAAGTAATCCTGAGAGCAGATCAAAGAAAGAAAGAAAGAAAGAAAGAAAGAAAGAAAGAAAGAAAGAAAAGAAAGCACTTAGAAAAGAAAGAAAAAAAAAAGAAGGGGAAGTAAGGGAGGGAAGTAATCCCTGAGGGCAGATCGTAAGAAAGAAAGAAAGAAAGAAAGAAAAAGAAAGAGAGAAGGAAAGAAAGAAAAGAAAAAAGAAAGAAAGGGAAGTAAGGGAGGGAAGTAATCCCGAGGGCAGATCAAGAAAAGAAAGAAAGAAAGAAAAGAAAAAGAAAGAAAGGGAAGTAAGGGAGGAAGTAATCCCGAGAGCAGATCGTAAGAAAGAAAGAAAGAAAGAAAGAAAGAAAGAAAGAAAGAAAGAAAAAGATAAAGAAAGAAAGGGAAGTAAGGAGGAAGTAATCCTGAGAGCAGATCGTAAGAAAGAAAGAAAGAAAGAAAGAAAGAAAGAAAGCACTTAGAAAAAAAAAAAAAAAAAAAAAAAGAAAGGGAAGTAAGGGAGGGAAGTAATCCCGAGAGCAGATCGTTAGAAATAAATAAATAAATAAATAAAGAAAGAAAGAAAGAAAGAAAGAAAGAAAAAAGAAAGAAAGAAAGAAAGGGAAAGCAAGCGAGAAAAAGAGCGAAAAGAAAAAGTGGAAGAAAAAGAAAAAGTAAGAGAGAAAAAAAAAGAGTAAAAATAATGTTGGAGAAGGAAAGAAGGGAACTAAAACAAGCAACCCCGGTGGGCGAAATATAGGGTTCAGTTCGAAATTCCAATCACCTGAAGAAGGCTAGAGCATACAACGACTGAAACGTCGTGAATATGGCAATAAAGACGAGGACAACAGTCCGAACAATCTAAGTAATGAAAAATAATTACAATGAATCATCTCAGAAATAGAGACAGATAAGGAAAGAAGGAAATTGAAAACGTGAGAGAATGAGAAAAAGAACGAAAGAAAAATAGTAAAACGAAAATGAGAGAAAGAAAAAGAAAAAGAGTAAAAAATATGGTAGGAAACAAAAACGTATATTTAAAAAAATATATTTGGCAAGAGCTTCAAGAAAAAGAAGAAAGAAAAAAAAAGAAAAAGAAAAGAAAAAAAGAAAGCCTTCGCGTCGAGGGCGACTTCGAAATTGACTTCAGTCATGTAGTCCCTATTTCATCAGCTCCACGAGTGTTGACTTGGTATTGTAGAAGTCTCTGGATAGTCCCCCTCTTGACGACGAACCACCTTTAGTAGGCTTTCTTCGATGTGCCGGGTTCCTTCAAGATGTAGGCGACTATGGCTTTCCATAACTCCCTTTTTACTACCCGCTCAAACCTGTCCTGCCTATCATTTACACAATCTTCTTAGGTAGGTTAGCCGCAGCTTCCCTCCTCCTCTCTTGCCTTCAACGTATCCTGTGATTGATTTATTTTCTACGGTTTATCAACCCTTTGCAGGGTATTTAAAGCCAGAAAATATTTTTAGATTTACTTATTTATAAATTTTCCTGTTTCTTAATACTTTGCATTGTTTTGGGAAAACTTCTCTCTTTATTCTAATGTACAGTGTTACATGTTACGCAGCAGTTCAGTAATTTTTTTCTTTCTTTCTAATGAAATTTTCCTGTTTCTTAATTGTTGTTGAGTAGTTTTCACAGTAGAGGCTTGTATTTCACTAAGTCGTCCTAAATTAGGTTCGACGTACAAAACGTCGCAGCAATCTAGTTGTGATGGTTGATACTTCAATGTCCGACATCGACTGACTCGCTCAACACCACTGAGCTCAACTGGCTACTGCTATTACTACTTATTATCTGTGGGAGAGTCTATTACAATAGAATAGGTAATGTTCTGGTATAACATTAATAAATTGCTTAGTTTCAGGATGTCATTCTAATGTAAAAAAAATAGATATTACGCAGCAGTTCAGTACTCTTTTCTTTGTTTTCAATGAAATTTTCCTATTTCTTAATACTTTGCTTTGTTTCTGGAAGGCGTATTATTCCAATGCATTTCGGATCTCTGTGTCACATTTACCATCGTCTGTAATGTCACTTCCCAGATAGTTAATAATTTGTATTTGCTTTAATCTGATGTCTCCAATTCGTGGCTCGAGTCTTGGGCTATTCATTTCTCTTGAAGTACATAATGAAAACAAATTTACATTGTGGTGTAATGGATATCGGCTTGGAATGAGAAATCGAAGAGCCAGTTTCGAGTTCTAGTTGGGTTCGTTATATTTACTTACGTACAAATATCCTTGGTAAAGGTGTGAATCCAGCTATGGTTTGAATAGCGAAACAGAATATAGCTTTGGTTGGTAATCAGTCTACTTCAGAAAGAAATGGCAGCCTACTGCGGGAACACCTGCCTAGTCAGCCATGAAAACAAAACTAAAGAGACAAGATCGTTCTAACGCGTATCAGGACAGGATTTTCTTTCCAGCCAGGGAACACTCTGGGATAATCAGGGTCAATCTCTGATACGTAAGGCGTCCCAAACGGGACATGCTAAAGTAGCTTCAGGAATTTATATCTCTAATGCCATGTACACTTGTTTGGGGTCTCTACATTAAACCTACCCTGTCCAGTCGACTGCGTTAAATCTACTTCTACAAATATCCTTGGGTAAAGTATGTATCCATTTTCTCCCCACAGATATGGGTTGATTAGCAGGACAACCTGGATCATATATGCTTGGTTGGCAATCAGTCTACCGCAGAAAGAAACAACAGCGGGAACATCTCCTGCCTAGTCAATCATGAAACAAAAGAGACGTGATCGCCCTAGCCTGTTTCGCGTACAGCACTTAGCCGACTTACTGTAAAAGCACACTTAAAGTGATCATGTCACCTGTTTGGGGGTCAGTACATTAAAACTACACTGTACAGTCGAGTTCCTTACATTCACTTACTTATCCTTGGGGTAGGTATGAATGGATCTCTTCTCCACACACATATGTATTGAATAGCAGGACAGGCTGGGTCCTATATCCTTGGTTCTCAATCAGTCTACCGCAGAAAGGAACGACAGCCTACTGCGGGAACACCTCTTGTTTACTACACTGTACAGTCGAGTTCCTTACATTCACTTACGCACAAATATCCTTGGGGTAGGTATGAATGGATCTCTTCTCCACACATATGTATTGAATAGCAGGACAGGCTGGGTCCTATATCCTTGGTTCTCAATCAGTCTACCGCAGAAAGGAACGACAGCCTACTGCAGGAACACCTCTGTTTACTACACTGTACAGTCGAGTTCCTTACATTCACTTACGCACAAATATCCTTGGGGTAGGTATGAATGGATCTCTTCTCCACACACATATGTATTGAATAGCAGGACAGACTGGGTCCTATATCCTTGGTTCTCAATCAGTCTGCCGCAGAAAGGAACGACAGCCTACTGCGGGAACACCTCTTGTTTACTACACTGTACAGTCGAGTTCCTTACATTCACTTACGCACAAATATCCTTGGGGTAGGTATGAATGGATCTCTTCTCCACACACATATGTATTGAATAGCAGGACAGACTGGGTCCTATATCCTTGGTTCTCAATCAGTCTACCGCAGAAAGGAACGACAGCCTACTGCGGGAACACCTCTTGTTTACTACACTGTACAGTCGAGTTCCTTACATTCACTTACGCACAAATATCCTTGGGATAGGTATGAATGGATCTCTTCTCCACACACATATGTATTGAATAGCAGGACAGACTGGGTCCTATATCCTTGGTTCTCAATCAGTCTGCCGCAGAAAGGAACGACAGCCTACTGCGGGAACACCTCTTGTTTACTATTTACATTATTCGGACTATTGTCCTCATCTTTGTTGCCATATTTATCACAACGTATCTCATGTGACAGGACACAAACACTGTGAGTTCAATACCTGGTTAAGGCAATGGAGATCTTGGAGAGAGGAATTAACAGGAGATAACTGACATCCATTAGACATGGCACGACAAGGGTCCAGTCCGAAATTCCAACCAACTGAAGATGGCCGGAGTGTACGTTGTGATAAATATGGCAACAAAGATGAAGACAATAGTCCGAATTATGTAAATAATGTACATAACACGTCATTTCAGAAATATAGACAGATACTGTTTAGTGAGTCATGAATCGAAAGAAACATAATCGCCTAAGCATGTATCTCATATGGCACTTGACTGGATAAAAATAATTATCATTGTTTTTCTGACTGATGGAAAAAGCTTCTTTTTTATTTTGTCATATCTTTATTTTATTTACTTATTTATTTTAATTGTTTTGGCGCGAGCCAATCATAGAACCTCAAATGTTGTGCCCATCATTTTATCACTGAACCATACATGCTAGATATGAGCAAATGTAGGCTAAATAGAATTGATTCCAGATGAAGATATGTAAGGGTAAGTTTTACTAATGTAAGTACTAAATGATTAGGAGCAGTGACATTTTAACGTAATTAATCTTATGAGTCATATTAATTTCCCTGCTCACTGGCGACAGGGATTAGGTTTTAAGGAAAAATGGCGGGTTTCAAGGCAGCTTTATTACACTTCAATACAAGGTCCAACTAATATAGGATTTGTTTAATCACGAAGCCAATGGGATGTTTTCTTTTCAAATTAATTATTTATGAGGTTCTTCCTAATGTTTTGAATTTTTGGAAGGCATTTATCGTTTGAGTTGTACAAGAAAATTATTTTTAAATGGTTTTTCAATGAATGGGAGATAATTATTTTTCTCTGTGGAATTGGTCATTGTTTCGGCAGGGTGCAGTTTGGAAAAATGAGACATCGGGATCAAGCAGGTACAGATATTTCACCCACCGGGTAGAATAGTAAGAGACGAAGAAAAACGAGACACCGAAATCCGAAGGCGTATTGGAAAAGCGAAAGTTGCCTTCCAGAAACTAAGCGAAGTATTCTCGAGGTACTCGACAAAATCCAGAGACGGATATGCAATGTGATAGGTCCTGATCTGGCATCTAGTCTACAGTCGCTTTCTCACAGACGTGGCATGGCTTCCCGCTGTCTCTTCTATAAATATTTTCACAACTGTTCCGACGAGTTGCTGTCTCTGGTTCCCAGACTGCACGAATTTAAGCGAGCTACTAGGGTGGCATCTCGGTCCCACCCTTTCACTCTCGAAACGTTTAAATGTAACCGCCTCTTCTGTTCAAACAGCTTGTTTTCTCGCACTTCCCGTCTGTGAAATTCTCTTCCTCTTACTTTTTTTTTTAAAAAACGTTTCACCCCCAAACAAGGCGGGGTTGCTGCTAGCACACAAGGGGTTACAGAGAATGGGAGCAAGAGTAAAGAGTCGTAAAAGAGGAAAGGATGTAGAGAAGGACGGGGAATAGATCAAGACATCTAGAGATGTCCATTGACATTGTATTTGAATAGTTGGAGATTATAGCTATCAGAGAAGCAAGTAAGAGAAAAGGAGTTCCACAGGCGGGAGGTGCGAGACATGAAGCTATTGGAGTAG